TGTGACACAACACACTGGAGTGTTCTTGGTGTGACACAACACACTGGAGTGTTGTTGGTGTGACACAACACACTGGAGTGGTGGTGGTGGTGTGACACAACACACTGGAGTGTTGTTGGTGTGACAATACACTGGAGTGTTGTTGGTGTGACACAACACACTGGAGTGTTCTTGGTGTGACACAACACACTGGAGTGTTGTTGGTGTGACACAACACACTGGAGTGGTGGTGGTGGTGTGACACAACACACTGGAGTGGTGGTGGTGTGACACAACACACTGGAGTGGTGGTGGTGGTGTGACACAACACACTGGAGTGTTCTTGGTGTGACACAACACACTGGAGTGTTGTTGGTGTGACACAACACACTGGAGTGGTGGTGGTGGTGTGACACAACACACTGGAGTGGTGGTGGTGTGACACAACACACTGGAGTGGTGGTGGTGGTGTGACACAACACACTGGAGTGGTGGTGGTGGTGTGACACAACACACTGGAGTGTTGTTGGTGTGACACAACACACTGGAGTGTTGTTGGTGTGACACAACACACTGGAGTGTTGTTTGTGTGACACAACACACCGGAGTGTTGTTTGTGTGACACAACACACTGGAGTGTTGTTGGTGTGACACAACACACCGGAGTGTTGTTGGTGTGACACAACACACTGGAGTGTTGTTGGTGTGACACAACACACTGGAGTGGTGGTGGTGGTGTGACACAACACACTGGAGTGTTGTTGGTGTGACACAACACACTGGAGTGTTGTTGGTGTGACACAACACACTGGAGTGTTGTTGGTGTGACACAACACACTGGAGTGTTGTTGGTGTGACACAACACACTGGAGTGTTGTTGGTGTGACACAACACACTGGAGTGTTCTTGGTGTGACACAACACACTGGAGTGTTGTTGGTGTGACACAACACACTGGAGTGTTGTTGGTGTGACACAACACACTGGAGTGTTCTTGGTGTGACACAACACACTGGAGTGTTGTTTGTGTGACACAACACACTGGAGTGTTGTTGGTGTGACACAACACACTGGAGTGTTCTTGGTGTGACACAACACACTGGAGTGTTGTTTGTGTGACACAACACACTGGAGTGTTGTTGGTGTGACACAACACACTGAAGTGTTCTTTGTGTGACACAACACACTGGAGTGTTGTTTGTGTGACACAACACACTGGAGTGTTGTTGGTGTGACACAACACACCTGAGTGTTTTTGGTGTGACACAACACACCTGAGTGTTGTTGCTGTGACACAACACACCAGAGTGTTGTTGGTGTGACACAACACACTGGATTGTTCTTGGTGTGACACAACACACTGGAGTGTTGTTTGTGTGACACAACACACTGGATTGTTCTTGGTGTGACACAACACACTGGAGTGTTGTTGGTGTGACACAACACACCGGAGTGTTGTTTGTGTGACACAACACACTGGAGTGTTGTTGGTGTGACACAACACACTGGAGTGTTGTTGGTGTGACACAACACACCGGAGTGTTGTTGGTGTGACACAACACACACTGAAGTGTTCTTTGTGTGACACAACACACTGGAGTGTTGTTGGTGTGACACAACACACACTGGAGTGTTGTTGGTGTGACACAACACACTGGAGTGTTGTTGGTGTGACACAACACACTGGAGTGTTGTTGGTGTGACACAACACACTGGATTGTTCTTGGTGTGACACAACACACTGAAGTGTTCTTTGTGTGACACAACACACTGGAGTGTTGTTTGTGTGACACAACACACTGGAGTGTTGTTGGTGTGACACAACACACTGGAGTGTTGTTGGTGTGACACAACACACTGGAGTGTTGTTGGTGTGACAACACACTGGAGTGTTGTTGGTGTGACAATACACTGGAGTGTTGTTGGTGTGACAACACACTGGAGTGTTGTTGGTGTGACACAACACACTGAAGTGTTCTTTGTGTGACACAACACACTGGAGTGTTGTTGGTGTGACACAACACACTGGAGTGTTGTTGGTGTGACAACACACTGGAGTGTTGTTGGTGTGACAATACACTGGAGTGTTGTTGGTGTGACAACACACTGGAGTGTTGTTGGTGTGACAATACACTGGAGTGTTGTTGGTGTGACAACACACTGGAGTGTTGTTGGTGTGACAACACACTGGAGTGTTGTTGGTGTGACACAACACACTGGAGTGTTGTTGGTGTGACAACACACTGGAGTGTTGTTGGTGTGACAATACACTGGAGTGTTGTTGGTGTGACAACACACTGGAGTGTTGTTGGTGTGACACAACACACTGAAGTGTTCTTTGTGTGACACAACACACTGGAGTGTTGTTGGTGTGACACAACACACTGGAGTGTTGTTGGTGTGACACAACACACTGGAGTATTCTTGGTGTGACACAACACACTGGAGTGTTGTTGGTGTGACAATACACTGGAGTGTTGTTGGTGTGACAACACACTGGAGTGTTGTTGGTGTGACACAACACACTGGAGTGTTGTTGGTGTGACACAACACACTGGAGTATTCTTGGTGTGACACAACACACTGGAGTGTTGTTGGTGTGACACAACACACTGGAGTGGTGGTGGTGGTGGTGTGACACAACACACTGGAGTGGTGGTGGTGGTGGTGTGACACAACACACTGGAGTGTTCTTGGTGTGACACAACACACTGGAGTGTTGTTGGTGTGACACAACACACTGGAGTGGTGGTGGTGGTGTGACACAGCACACTGGAGTGGTGGTGGTGGTGTGACACAACACACTGGAGTGGTGGTGGTGGTGTGACACAACACACTGGAGTGTTGTTGGTGTGACACAACACACTGGAGTGTTGTTGGTGTGACACAACACACTGGAGTGTTGTTTGTGTGACACAACACACCGGAGTGTTGTTTGTGTGACACAACACACTGGAGTGTTGTTGGTGTGACACAACACACCGGAGTGTTGTTGGTGTGACACAACACACTGGAGTGGTGGTGGTGGTGTGACACAACACACTGGAGTGTTGTTGGTGTGACACAACACACTGGAGTGTTGTTGGTGTGACACAACACACTGGAGTGTTGTTGGTGTGACACAACACACTGGAGTGTTGTTGGTGTGACACAACACACCGGAGTGTTGTTGGTGTGACACAACACACACTGGAGTGTTGTTGGTGTGACACAACACACCGGAGTGTTGTTGGTGTGACACAACACACTGGAGTGTTGTTGGTGTGACACAACACACCGGAGTGTTGTTGGTGTGACACAACACACTGGAGTGTTGTTGGTGTGACACAACACACTGGAGTGTTGTTGGTGTGACACAACACACTGGAGTGTTGTTGGTGTGACACAACACACTGGATTGTTGTTGGTGTGACACAACACACTGGAGTGTTGTTGGTGTGACACAACACACTGGAGTGTTGTTGGTGTGACACAACACACTGGAGTGTTGTTGGTGTGACACAACACACTGGAGTGTTGTTGGTGTGACACAACACACTGGAGTGTTGTTGTGGTGTGACACAACACACTGGAGTGTTGTTGGTGTGACACAACACACTGGAGTGTTGTTGGTGTGACACAACACACTGGAGTGTTGTTGGTGTGACACAACACACTGGAGTGTTGTTGGTGTGACACAACACACTGGAGTGTTGTTGGTGTGACACAACACACTGGAGTGTTCTTGGTGTGACACAACACACTGGAGTGTTGTTTGTGTGACACAACACACTGGAGTGTTGTTGGTGTGACACAACACACCTGAGTGTTTTTGGTGTGACACAACACACCTGAGTGTTGTTGGTGTGACACAACACACCAGAGTGTTGTTGGTGTGACACAACACACCAGAGTGTTGTTGGTGTGACACAACACACCAGAGTGTTGTTGGTGTGACACAACACACCGGGCTCCAACAACATACCAGTCCTGACCTTGTCAACACTAAACATTCAACTTTCATCGCTAACATTACTTCATTATAGTTATTTTAAACACGCTGTTTAAAATAATTTAACACACCGGCCCTCTCCCACAAAGGTTGGGTGACCCAAGAAAGAGGAAACACTTTCACAGTCACTCACTTCATCACCATTTTGCCAGAAATGTATCGACATTACAGTTCAGATGCCCTTCCAAGCTGCAAATATTCACAACCCTCCAGAGTCAGGCACTCTGCTAGCCACCTCCAGGACTCAAGTCCGGCTAACTTTTTCCCTCTGAATCCCTTCATAAATGCTGCCTTGCTAACACTCCAACAGCTCATCAAACCATAAAAATAACTTGCCTCTACTCACACTCCAACAGCTCATCAAACCATAAAAATAACTTGCCTCTACTCACTCCTAACATGCTCTTACACTTTTGTTGAATATACAAACCCCCTCATTATATACAAAACCTCCATAGTCTCCTCCATCCAGTCTTTCCTAGGAGAACTCCTAATCTGCCTTCCCTCCACAACAGATTTATACACCCTCCCAGTCATCCATTTTTGCTCCATCCTTTCAGAATGTCCAAACGACCTCGCTAACCCGTCTTCAGCATTCTGGATAATACTTTTAGTAACCCCGCACCTCCTAACCTCCAAAGTATGGATTCTCTATAAGATTCATGCCACACACCATCCTTGGCTGTCTTTAAGAAGGCACTGGATAAGCACCTAAAGTCAGTACCTGCCGAACCGGGCTGTGGTTCATACGTCAACTTGCGTGCACCCAGTGGTAACAGCCTGGTTGATCAGACCCTGATCCACTGTGAGGCCTGGTCACAGACCGAGCCGCGGAGGCGTTGACTCCTGAAACCCTCTTCAGGTAAACTCCAGGTAACACAAAGCCCTCAGACACAACATCTCCACTGCCTCCAGCCTTTTCCTCGCTGCAACATTCACAACCCACGCTTCACTTATAAAATAGTGTTGGTACCACTATAGTCATACACTCCCATTTTTGCCCCTATGAATAACGTTCTTTGTCTACACAGACTCCTCAAGTGCATCACTCGCACATTTTACCTCATCAGCTCGATGGTTCACCTCGTGTTTTGTAGACCCATCTGCTGACAGTTCCACTCCCAAATATTTAAACACATTCACTTCCTCCATACTCTCTCATTCCAGTCTGATATTAAATCCTTCATTAATTAAATTTTTAGTTATTCTCATCACCTTATTCATTTCTATGTTCACTTTTAATTTCCTTCCTTTACACACACTCCAAGTTCATTCACAAATCTTTGCAACTTCATAATCTTCCAGAAACACAATGTCACTGGAGAAAAACAGCCGTGACAACTCCCGCTTTATATTACATTCTTTATGACTCACGAAATTGTAATGACACGATTGCAAGCAAACCATACCACAGGTGGGGTTAGAACCCGCGATTGGTCTGTAGTTTTGTGACTCTCTGATCGTGGGTTCTAACCCCACCCATGGTATAGTTAGTTTCTTTATATTTTAATGCTACACCTCTCCCTGATATCCTAGTGTTCCCTTTTACAAACCTCAACTACCTGTTACTCTATAAACATGCCCATCTAGAAGTCTACTCATCAGCCTTTTACCTACTAATACACATTAACAAACTGCTGTCATTTTTTTTTTTTTTTTTTTTTTTTTCAACAAGTCGGCCGTCTCCCACGTTCTTTTTTTTCCTAATTTTTCATGAGAATTTTCTGTTACCAAGCCTCTTTCTATACAAAGTTCAATTAATGACCCCTATTATTATTTACTCCCAGCACCCCAGACTTACCTACCACTTCCTCTACAACAGTTTTCTCCACTAGCATTTAGGTCCCTCACAACAATTACTCTCTCTTGGTTCCCAAACTCCCTAAACACTCACTCAACGTCTCCCAAAATCTCCCTCTCCTCTACACTCCAGGTGCATAAACACATAATACTGTATAACCTACTTTTTGCATCCTTTTTTTAATCCACATAATCCTTGAATTTATAATAATAATAATAATACTATCTTTATTTTTACAAGTACATGTACAAGGTATACAGTCATAGCTGAAATCAATGACATACTACTATATAGAAAGTTGCTTGTTATGCTGAGCATATCCCACAAATTAGGCAATTTTTGTCCCAGGATGCGACCCACACCAGTCCACTAACACCCAGGTACCCATTTTACTGATAGGATACATAGACAACAGGTGCATCACACAGTAACACCAGTCTTGCATGTATCACACAGTAACACTAGCCACGTGTCCTGCATGTATCATACAGTAACACTAGCCACGTGTCCTGCATGTATCACACAGTAACACTAGCCACGTGTCCTGCATGTATCATACAGTAACACTAGCCACGTGTCCTGCATGTATCACACAGTAAACACTAGCCACGTGTCCTGCATGTATCACACAGTAACACTAGCCACGTGTCCTGCATGTATCATACAGTAACACTAGCCACGTGTCCTGCATGTATCATACAGTAACACTAGCCACGTGTCCTGCATGTATCACACAGTAACACTAGCCACGTGTCCTGCATATATCACACAGTAACACTAGCCACATGTCCTGCATGTATCACACAGTAACACTAGCCATGTGTCCTGCATGTATCACAGAGTAACACTAGCCATGTGTCCTGCATGTATCACAGAGTAACACAAGCCACGTGTCCTGCATGTATCATACAGTAACACTAGCCACGTGTCCTGCATGTATCACACAGTAACACTAGCCACATGTCCTGCATGTATCACACAGTAACACTAGCCATGTGTCCTGCATGTATCACAAAGTAACACTAGCCATGTGTCCTGCATGTATCACACAGTAACACTAGCCATGTGTCCTGCATGTATCACAGAGTAACACTAGCCATGTGTCCTGCATGTATCACACAGTAACACCAGCCACATGTCCTACATGTATCACACAGTAACACCAGCCACATGTCCTGCATGTATCACACAGTATCACTAGCCATGTGTCCTGCATGTATCACAGAGTAACACTAGCCATGTGTCCTGCATGTATCACAGAGTAACACTAGCCATGTGTCCTGCATGTATCACACAATATCACTAGCCATGTGTCCTGCATGTATCACAGAGTAACACTAGCCATGTGTCCTGCATGTATCACACAGTAACACTAGCCATGTGTCCTGCATGTATCACACAGTAACACTAGCCACATGTCCTGCATGTATCACACAGTAACACTAGCCACGTGTCCTGCATGTATCACACAGTAACACTAGCCACGTGTCCTGCATGTATCACACAGTAACACTAGCCACGTGTCCTGCATGTATCACACAGTAACACTAGCCATGTGTCCTGCATGTATCACACAGTAACACTAGCCACATGTCCTGCATGTATGACACAGTAACACTAGCCATGTGTCCTGCATGTATCACACAGTAACACTAGCCACATGTCCTGCATGTATCACACAGTAACACTAGCCACGTGTCCTGCATGTATCACACAGTAACACTAGCCACGTGTCCTGCATGTATCACACAGTAACACAAGCCATGTGTCCTGCATGTATCATACAGTACACTAGCCACGTGTCCTGCATGTAATGAAAGAGTAACACTAGCCACATGTCCCTGCATGTATCACACAGTAACACTAGCCAGTGTCCTGCATGTATCACACAGTAACACTAGCCATGTGTCCTGCATGTATCATGCAGTTACACTAGCCATGTGTCCTGCATGTATCACACAGTAACACTAGCCACGTGTCCTGCATGTATCACACAGTAACACTAGCCACGTGTCCTGCATGTATCACACAGTAACACTAGCCACGTGTCCTACATGTATCACACAGTAACACTAGCCACATGTCTTGCATGTATCACACAGTAACACTAGCCATGTGTCCTGCAATGTATCACACAGTAACACTAGCCACGTGTCCTGCATGTATCACACAGTAACACTAGCCACATGTCCTGCATGTATGACACAGTAACACTAGCCATGTGTCCTGCATGTATCACACAGTAACACTAGCCATGTGTCCTGCATGTATCACAGAGTAACACTAGCCACATATCCTGCATGTATCACACAGTAACACTAGCCCCGTGTCCTTCATGTTTCACACAGTAACACTAGCCACGTGTCCTGCATGTATCATACAGTAACACTAGTGATGTGTCCTGCTGTATCCAGGTAACACTGCCACGTGCCTGCATGATCACAGAGTAACACTACCCACGTGTCCTGCATGTATCACACAGTAACACTAGCCATGTGTCCTGCATGTATCACACAGTAACACTAGCCACATGTCCTGCATGTATCACACAGTAACACTAGCCACATGTCCTGCATGTATCACACAGTAACACTAGCACGTGTCTGCATGTATCACACAGTAACACTAGCCATTTGTCCTGCATGTATCACACAGTAACACTAGCCACGTGTCCTGCATGTATCACACAGTAACACTAGCCATGTGTCCTGCATGTATCACACAGTAACACTAGCCACATGTCCTGCATGTATCACACAGTAACACTAGCCATGTGTCCTGCATGTATCACACAGTAACACTAGCCACATGTCCTGCATGTATCACACAGTAACACAAGCCATGTGTCCTGCATGTATCATACAGTAACACTAGCCACGTGTCCTGCATGTATGAAAGAGTAACACTAGCCACATGTCCTGCATGTATCACACAGTAACACTAGCCATGTGTCCTGCATGTATCACACAGTAACACTAGCCATGTGTCCTGCATGTATCATGCAGTAACACTAGCCATGTGTCCTGCATGTATCACACAGTAACACTAGCCACGTGTCCTGCATGTATCACACAGTAACACTAGCCACGTGTCCTGCATGTATCACACAGTAACACTAGCCACGTGTCCTACATGTATCACACAGTAACACTAGCCACATGTCTTGCATGTATCACACAGTAACACTAGCCATGTGTCCTGCATGTATCACACAGTAACACTAGCCATGTGTCCTGCATGTATCACAGAGTAACACTAGCCACATGCCTTGCATGTATCACACAGTAACACTAGCCATGTGTCCTGCATGTATCACACAGTAACACTAGCCATGTGTCCTGCATGTATCACAGAGTAACACTAGCCATGTGTCCTGCATGTATCACAGAGTAACACTAGCCACATATCCTGCATGTATCACACAGTAACACTAGCCCCGTGTCCTGCATGTTTCACACAGTAACACTAGCCACGTGTCCTGCATGTATCATACAGTAACACTAGCCACGTGTCCTGCATGTATCACACAGTAACACTAGTCACATGTCCTGCATCTATCACACAGTAACACTAGCCACATGCCTTGCATGTATCACACAGTAACACTAGCCATGTGTCCTGCATGTATCACACAGTAACACTAGCCCCGTGTCCTGCATGTATCACACAGTAACACTAGCCCCGTGTCCTGCATGTTTCACACAGTAACACTAGCCACGTGTCCTGCATGTATCACACAGTAACACTAGTCACATGTCCTGCATCTATCACACAGTAACACTAGCCACGTGTCCTGCATGTATCACACAGTAACACTAGCCACGTGTCCTGCATGTATCACACAGTAACACTACCCAAACGTGTCTGCATGTATCATACAGTAACACTAGCCACGTGTCCTGCATGTATCACACAGTAACACTAGTCACATGTCCTGCATCTATCACACAGTAACACTAGCCACATGCCTTGCATGTATCACACAGTAACACTAGCCATGTGTCCTGCATGTATCACACAGTAACACTAGCCATGTGTCCTGCATGTATCACAGAGTAACACTAGCCACATATCCTGCATGTATCACACAGTAACACTAGCCCCGTGTCCTGCATGTTTCACACAGTAACACTAGCCACGTGTCCTGCATGTATCATACAGTAACACTAGCCACGTGTCCTGCATGTATCACACAGTAACACTAGCCACATGTCCTGCATGTATCATACAGTAACACTAGCTACGTGTCCTGCATGTATCACACAGTAACACTAGCCACGTGTCCTGCATGTATCACACAGTAACACTAGCCACATGTCCTGCATGTATCACACAGTAACACTAGCCACGTGTCCTGCATGTATCACACAGTAACACTAGCCACGTGTCCTGCATGTATCACACAGTAACACTAGCCACGTGTCCTGCATGTATCACACAGTAACACTAGCCACGTGTCCTGCATGTATCACACAGTAACACTAGCCACGTGTCCTGCATGTATCACACAGTAACACTAGCCACGTGTCCTGCATGTTATCACACAGTAACACTAGCCACGTGTCCTGCATGTATCACACAGTAACACTAGCCACGTGTCCTGCATGTATCACACAGTAACACTAGCCATATCTTCCAGGGTGACAGAAGCTCTCCACACTGTCAACAATCTACAAGACAAGGGACGGGCTGGGACCTCTGCTTTCCTCTTTGGATATGGGGACGGCGGTGGTGGGCCTACCCAGGACATGCTGGAGAGGGCACGTCGACTTAAGGACACAGACGGATGTCCAAGGTATGTCCAGAGGAAGGAGATGGTGGCAAAGTTTAAATGCTAAATAGGTGTAAAGGTCAATGGGTGACACTAGGAAGAACATATGTGAGGACAGATGTACACACAATTCTCCTGATAGATAATATCCTGGTTCACCTAGCTTCCTATACCTGATACCCTGGTTCACCTAGCTCCTTATGCCTTATACCCTGGTTCACCTAGCTCCTTATACCTGATACCCTGGTTCAGCTAGCTCCTCATACCTGATACCCTGGTTCACCTAGCTCTTTATACCTGATACCCTGGTTCACCTAGCTCCTTACACCTGATGCCTTGGTTCACCTAGCTCCTTATACCTGATACCCTGGTTCACCTAGTTCCTTATACCTGATACCCTGGCTCACCTAGCTCTTTATACCCAATACCCTGGCTCACCTAGATCATTATACCTGATACCCTGGTTAACCTTGCTCCTTATACCTGATACCCTGGTTCATCTAGTTCCTTATACCTGATACCCTGGTTCACCTAGCTCCTTATACCCAATACCCTGGTTCACCAAGATCATTATACCTGATACCCTGGTTCACCTAGCTCCTTATACCTGATGCCCTGGTTCACCTAGCTCCTTATATCTGATACCCTGGTACACCTAGCTCCTTATACCCGATACCCTGGTTCACCAAGATCATTATACCTGATATCCTGGTTCACCTAGCTCCTTATACCTGATATCCTAGTTCACCTAGCTCCTTGTTCCTGATACCCTGGTTCACCTAGCTCCTTATACCTGATATCCAGGTTCATTGAGCAGAAAACTGATCCTTCACTATCCATACTGTCAAATCATAAGAACATGAGAAAATTCTCTGAGGATCTGGAATATCAGAATTGTGTCTCCCCTGATTCTTTCACGTCTGTAGTAATTAAACTAACTTTCTTCAGTTTTGATCATAACTCTAATGTGTGTGTCTACTTACCTATTTGTGGTTGCTGGGGTGGAGTCACAGCTCCTGGGCCTGCCTCTTCAGTGGTCGCTACTAGGTCCACTGGAGAAGGCACCATTGTTAGTACATGTGCTGAAGATAGTAAAGAGACAGAAAAATACGCACCAGTAGGGAATGCAGTCATGAAAAACCAAGGCAAGCAGAAATCAGACTTTTGCAGATTTTATGCATTAGGCATCTGCAGGCATGGAATACCTGGAAAAACAGATGGGACATGCAACTTTCACCACCCCAGAAAATGCCGTGCCCACAGGAAAATGCAACCTTCCTTCGTGTAAGCTTTACCACCCTGAAATGTGTCACCCTTCAGTTCAGGAAAGACAATATTGTCAGGCACACCAACTAAAGGGAACAAGAAGATATAGAACATCCAGATCATGGGAAAACTTGGGTAGCCACAGCCACTCTAGAGAGGTTTTTTAGCACCAGGAAGAAAAAGCTGGCAGGAAATGACAGAAATCGTACACCAATTCCAATCATTTCTTGAGTAGAATCACAGTCAATGACCACTCCAAAACAACAGATATTAGTGCCAGGAAAAAAAGTCTCCCACCCCCATACCACCAATACGATGACATTCATCTTTGTAAATATACAGGGTCTAAAGCCAGCAACGAACAACAAAATACCTTTCATCCATGGACTGCTTACAGAGTCAAATGCAGTGTTTGCGGTTTTCAAAGAGACTCACATAAAGAATCACTTGCACAATGAAATATGGATCTCAGGTTATAACCTAAACAGATGTAACAGAGTGAACAGGCAAAAGGGAAGGGATGGGGGAGAGTTTGGCCTGTACGGCACAGAGTCACTGATATGCTTGGAAATACTAAATGCCTCAAATGATGTAGTTGAAGTTTTAGCAGTAAAGATTGAGAACCAAAACCTGGTCATTGTGGTTGTATACAAGCCTCCGGATGCAACGTACCAACAATTCCAGGAACAGCTTCTGAAAATAGACCACTGTCTGGAAAATCTTCCAGCTCCTGCTCCCAAGCATCTTGTTCCTGGGGGATTTCAATCTAAGTCACCTAAAATGGAGGAATATAGCAAATAATGTAGCAGAGATAACACCAGGAGGCAGCTCAGATGAGAACTCACACACACACGAGCTTTTAAATCTCTGCACCAAATTCACCTTAAACCAACAAATAATAGAGCCTACTAGATTGAGGAATACACTGGACCTCATCTTCACTAACAATGATGATCTGATATGAAATATTACCATATCAAAAACAATATACTCAGATCACAACATAATAGAGGTTCAGACATGTATGTGTAGGGTCACGAGGGAGCCATCACCAAGCTCAACCTCAATAACAAAAACATAAGGTGGGACCAATTCACCAGGTCCTAAATGATAAACTGGGAAGATATCCTAAGCAACACGGATCCAAACCTATGTCTAGAACAAATTAACTCTGAGGCACTCGAGGTATGCTCAAGACATATTCCTTTAAGGAAAAGGAAGATGTAAACTAGAAAGAGAAAGGCGCTCCCTATACAGGCAAAGGCAAATAATAACAGCTCTGCTAAAAGAGGCCAATATTTTTGTAATGCGAAGGGAGGCACTGGTTAGAGAAGTAGGAAACATCGAACTTTAGCTAGAGGAATGTTACAAGAGTCAAGAAACACAGGAAGAACTAAAAGCCATAAATGAAATTGAAAGAAACCAAAATATTTATTTTCTTATGCCAAATCTAAGTCGAGAACAACATCCAGTATTGGGCCCCTTCTTAAATGAGATGGGTCCTACACAGATGACAGCAAGGAAATGAGTGAGCTACTGAAGTCCCAATGTGACTCAGTTTTTAGCGAGCCGCTAACCAGACAGAGAGTCGAAGACCTAAATGAATTTTTTATGAGCGAGACTCAGAATTTGGTAGACTCAAACCTATCTGATGTTTTTCTGATGCCAAATGACATGCCCATCATGACATGCCCATGCACTCTGCCTGGGGCAGAGTGCATGGGCATGTCATGGAACTCTGTGTTCATCAAGAACTGCAAGAAACCCTTATCATGTGCTTCTAACATCCTATGGAGAAAGATCATGGACACAGGGGTCATTGCACAGCTGCTAAAAACAACAGAGATAGCCCCGCTTCACAGAGGTGGCAGCAAAGTAATAGCAAAGAACTACAGACCGATAGCGCTAACATCCCATATCAAAAAATCTTGGAAAGGGTTCTAAGAAGCATGATAGCCACTCATCTAGATACCCATCACTTACATAACCCAGGGCAACACGGGTTTAAAGCAGATCGCTCCTGCCTGTCCCAACTATTGGATCACTATGACAAGGTCCTGGATGCTCTAGAATACAAACAAAACACAGATGTATTATACACAGACTTTGCAAAAAGCCTTTGACAAGTGTGACCATGGAGTTATAGAGCACAAAATGCGTGACAAAGGAATAACAGGAAAAGTTGGTAGATGGATCTTTAATTTCCTAACAAATTGAACACAAAGAGTATTGGCAAATAAAGTAAAGTCTGAGGCAGCTACTGTGAAAAGCTATGTTCCACAAGACACAGTATTCGCTCCCATCCTGTTTTTCAAACTCATATGTAGCTACAGCTACAGTGCCATGTCTTCCTTTGCAGATGACACCCAAATTTGCATGACAGTGTCCTCCATTGAAGACACTGCAAGACTCCAGGTGGACATCAACCAAATTTAAATGAGCTACAGAAAGCAATATGAAGTTCAGTGATGAGAAATTTCATTTACTCCAATATGGAAAATGTGAGGAAATTAAAACTTCATAGGAGTATAAAACAAATTCCAACCACACAATAGAGCGAAAAATTATTGTAAAAGACCTGGGAGTGATAATGTCAGAGGATCTCACTGTCAAAGACCACAACATTGTATCAAAAGCATCTGCTAGAAAAATGACAGGATTGATAATGAGAACCTTCAAAACTAGGGATGCCAAGCCCATGATGACACTCTTCAGGTCGTTTGTTCTATCTAAGCTGAAATATTGCTGCACACTAACAGCATCTTTCAATGTAGGTAAAATTGCTGACCTAAAAAATGTACAGAGAACCTTCATGGAGCACATAACTGCGATAAAACACTTCAGTTACTGGGAACGCTTGAAGTTCCCTCAACCTGTACTCCCTAGAATGCAGGCAGGAGAGATACATGATTATATACACTTGGAAAATCCTAGAGGGATTAGTACCAAATTTGCAAATGAAAATCACTCCCTATGAAAGCAAAAGACTCGGCAGACGATGCAACATTCCCCCAATGAAAAGCAGTGGGTGTCACTAGCACGTTAAGAGACAATACAATAAGTGTTAGGGGCCCGAGACTGTTCAACTGCTTCCCAGTATACATAAGGTGGATTACCAATAGACCCCTGGCTGTATTCAAGCACGCACTGGACAGGCACCTAAAGTCAGTACCTGACCAGCTGGACTGTGGTTTGTACGTTGGGTTGCGTGTGGCCAACAGTAAAAGCCTGGCTGATCAGGCCCTGATTCACCATGAGGCCTGGTTACAGCCCGCTCCGAGGGGGCATTGACCCCTGAAACCCTCTCCTGGTATACACACTCCCTGCTCCATGAGCTTTACCATACCTCTTCTAAAAGTTATGTATGGAATCTGCCTCCACTATATCACTCTCCATATTGTTCCACTTCCAGACAGCTATTTGACTAAAGAAAAACTTCCTAACATCTGAGAGACTCATCTGAGTCTTCAACTTCCAGCTGTTACCCCTTGTATATAGCTGGATGATAAAATAATTTTTTTCTTTTCCAGAAAAAATAATATACGTGTTTATTTATGTTAAAGTGAAGTGAATTAAACAATCATTGTTGAAAATGGAATCATCTCAGCCTTCACTCACATGCACAAAACCCATAAACGCTAAGTCAATCATCTCAAGACACCCAAACACTAAGTATACACTCTAACACTAACATCTTGTAACACTAAGTTTTTACATCATAAAATACATATGCAGGATGCAGATGATGAACCCTGACGAGCTCTTCGGACGGTTGGAAAAAGATCAGCACAACCTGTGTCGCTGGGTCGGAGAGCTGTTCTTGGAGCGTCACAATGGCACCTACACCACTCAGGCAGACATGAAGCGACTGTGTCGGGAGACAGAGTTCAAACTGCGTGACGCAGAATTCCTTCTTTCACAAGCTGTGGCAGTCCTTGGCCCAGCTGCGGCCTCGAGTCTCCTGCAGCAGTACGTATTCTCTTATGTTCATTATCCATCTACAGTAGATAGATAGATCATTGTCCTGACGTGGGGGAGGTAAGGTAAAGTCAAGAGAGAAGTTCAGAGGGGTTAGGCCATGTGCTGAGAAGAGATCATTCAGAAGTTTTTGGAAGTTGATGTTGAGGTATTTGGCAAGGATAACGGATATGTGGACGATGGAAGAAATCGGACTGTTTTGGCTAGGAACTGTAATTGAAGGCAATGATGTAGCGAGTTCCCTGGTGATATTTGAGTATGTGTGGGATGTGGTAGGTTATGCCATGTGCTGAGAAGAGGTCATTCAGAAGTTTTTGGAAGTTGATGTCGAAGTATTTGGCAAGGATAACGGATGTGTGGACGATGGAAGAAATCGGACTGTTTTGGCTAGTAACTGTAATTGAAGGCAATGATGTAGCGAGTCCCCTGGTGATATTTGAGTATGTGTGGGATGTGGTAGGTTAGGCCATGTGCTGAGAAGAGGCCATTCAGAAGTTTTTGGAAGTTGATGTCGAAGTATTTGGCAAGGATAACGGATGTGTGGACGATGGAAGAAATCAGACTGTTTTGGCTAGGAACTGTAATTGAAGGCAATGATGTAGCGAGTCCCCTGGTGGTATTTGAGTATGTGTGGGATGTGGTAGGAGAGGTAGAAGGGGAGGTTGTAGTGGGTAGAGGTGGGAAGCTTGTGGAAGTGGGAGAAGGTTGAGGTTGCGAAGAGAGGGTTAGGAGAATTGGTTTGTCAAATCGTAGAGAGAAGGCTTATTCCTTGCGTTGAGGGCATTGATAGGAAGTGGCAGGGTGAGGTTGTTGGTAGTTTGGATATTTTAGTGGGCGAGAGCAGTTAGTCCAGTAATGTTCAGAGGAGGAGCATTTGGAGCAAATTTGGTGTTTTGAGCAGGAGGGTTTATCATGATCAAATTCATAGCACTTTAGACATTGCAAAGTAGGTATGTAGTTAGTTATGAAGAGAGAGGTAGCAGGAATAATGTAGATCTTGGCACGAATGCCATACTGTAGGAGATATGCAGCTTCCTCAGACGTAGAACAGTGATGTGTGAGGACGGTCTGTAAATATCTCCAATGGTAACCATTATTTTTGTTAGCAGGGTTGAGTTTTAGGTCATTGCAATCAGTGTTGTAGGCAGCAAGAATAGAGTTGTCGACATGCCTTGCGACAACTGTGCTCCTGGCTCTATGTTTGCAAGTCCAGCTGATCACAAAGCCAGCCTCAGAAAGCTTAGCTCTAATATCTTTGAAGCAATAGATTTTATAGGAGGCAGGGTCAAGAATAATTTTAAAGCCAGTGTTAGTCCTAACAAGGTCGACAAAAGAAGCTTGAGTAATTTGGAATATAAGGTTAGCAACATCGATAGAGGCTCTATCAGGTTTGGAATAAGGAAGGAATAGGGCATAATTTGCATTAGAGCTAGAAATAGACATCGTGAGTACATATAGGGCAACAAGCAAAGTTGAATATCAAAATGGTATACAATACAGACAGGGTGGTAAGTAAGACACATAGACAACAGTTAGGCATCATTAATCCGAAGCATTTCGCCTACGCAGTAGGCTTCTTCAGTCAATTACAGAAAGTAGACAGGAGCAATAAAACTTCACATGAGTGTGTAGCGGTCGTTGTTACGGAGACGACGAACCTCCAAGGGATAATATCAATCATGTCATTACAATTTTGTGAGTTATGTTTACACTCTACCTCTGGACTCGTGTTGTTGTCACAAGAGATTAGTACATATATAATTTTGTAATGTCTGCAGATGCTTTTAATTCTTGTATCAATCTGGTGGCCCATGGCCTGGTAGGCAAGGCTCTCCCTTCACACGCTGAGGGTACGTTGTTTGATTAGCGGCAAGGGGTGAAAACATTGGGTATGTTTCCTTACATCGGTTGTCCATGTTCACCCATCAGTAATAACGGGTACCTGGGTGTTAGTGGACTGGTGTGGGTCGCATCCTGGGACAAAACTAACCTAATTTGCAGGAACTGCTCAGCATAACAAGCGGCTTTCTATATAGTAGTATGTCATTGATGTCAGCTATGGTCTGTATACCTTGAAAATGTACTTGTAGAAATAAATATACTATATTAATTGTAAGTTTTCACAGTTGAAATTGTTGCCGCCAACAGTCATTGTGATAAATCTGACTCGCGTCACTCGGTCATGTGCAGAAGTTAAGGAAATAACATTTTTATCATTCATGATTTCTCTGATGCATTCACTATATCAGCTTTCCAAGATGAGAACTTGATTATTACACTGACACCTTGTGGTGAGGATTACACTGACACCTGGTGGTGAGGATTTATTACACTGACACCTGGTGGTGAGGATTTATTACACTGACACCTGGTGGTGAGGATTACACTGACACCTGGTGGTGAGGATTTATTACACTGACACCTGGTGGTGAGGATTACACTGACACCTGGTGGTGAGGATTTATTACACTGACACCTGGTGGTGAGGATTACACTGACACCCGGTGGTGAGGATTTATTACACTGACACCTGGTGGTGAGGATTACACTGACACCTGGTGGTGAGGATTTATTACACTGACACCTGGTGGTGAGGATTACACTGACACCTGGTGGTGAGGATTACACTGACACCTGGTGGTGAGGATTACACTGACACCTGGTGGTGAGGATTACACTGACACCTGGTGGTGAGGATTACACTGACACCTGGTGGTGAGGATTACACTGTCACCTGGTGGTGAGGATTACACTGACACCTGGTGGTGAGGATTTATTACACTGACACCTGGTGGTGAGGATTACACTGACACCTGGTGGTGAGGATTACACTGACACCTGGTGGTGAGGATTTATTACACTGACACCTGGTAGTGAGCATGTGAAAAATTATGTGGGGAAATTTTAGAGGTAATGTCCTGAATTAACATTTTACCCCATAATTATGAAGAAACTTTGATATATCAAACACTGATATTAATACTGCTGAGAGTCAAGTGGGACTTTAAGGTCACCAGGTCACAATAATATCCCTCCTTCATGTGGGACTTTAAGGTCACCAGGTCACAATAATATCCCTCCTTCGTGTGGGACTTTAAGGTCACCAGGTCACAATAATATCCCTCCTTCGTGTCCAACTTCTCAGGTCATCACATCTCACACATCTGCATCTTAAATTAATATTACAATACATAGTTCTTAAAATTATTTGAAAAATTATGCCAGTAACACTGACATGTGTCGATTATATATATTTGGTAATATCAGTTACTTGACCTGAGTAATTTGCTTGGGTAAATTTATATATATATATATAATATATATATATATATATATATATATATATATATATATATATATATATATATATATATATATATATATATATATATGAAAGGGGGTAAGGCAGCCGGGATTGATGGGATAAAGATAGAAATGTTAAAAGCAGGTGGGGATATAGTTTTGGAGTGGTTGGTGCAATTATTTAATAAATGTATGGAAGAGGGTAAGGTACCTAGGGATTGGCAGAGAGCATGCATAGTTCCTTTGTATAAAGGCAAAGGGGATAAAAGAGAGTGCAAAAATTATAGGGGGATAAGTCTGTTGAGTGTACCTGGTAAGGTGTATGGTAGAGTTATAATTGAAAGAATTAAGAGTAAGACGGAGAATAGGATAGCAGATGAACAAGGAGGCTTTAGGAAAGGTAGGGGGTGTGTGGACCAGGTGTTTACAGTGAAACATATAAGTGAACAGTATTTAGATAAGGCTAAAGAGGTCTTTGTGGCATTTATGGATTTGGAAAAGGCGTATGACAGGGTGGATAGGGGGGCAATGTGGCAGATGTTGCAAGTGTATGGTGTAGGAGGTAGGTTACTGAAAGCAGTGAAGAGTTTTTACGAGGATAGTGAGGCTCAAGTTAGAGTATGTAGGAAAGAGGGAAATTTTTTCCCAGTAAAAGTAGGCCTTAGACAAGGATGTGTGATGTCACCGTGATTGTTTAATATATTTATAGATGGGGTTGTAAGAGAAGTAAATGCGAGGGTCTTGGCAAGAGGCGTGGAGTTAAAAGATAAAGAATCACACACAAAGTGGGAGTTGTCACAGCTGCTCTTTGCTGATGACACTGTGCTCTTGGGAGATTCTGAAGAGAAGTTGCAGAGATTGGTGATGAATTTGGTAGGGTGTGCAAAAGAAGAAAATTAAAGGTGAATACAGGAAAGAGTAAGGTTATTAGGATAACAAAAAGATTAGGTGATGAAAGATTGAATATCAGATTGGAGGGAGAGAGTATGGAGGAGGTGAACGTATTCAGATATTTGGGAGTGGACGTGTCAGCGGATGGGTCTATGAAAGATGAGGTGAATCATAGAATTGATGAGGGAAAAAGAGTGAGTGGTGCACTTAGGAGTCTGTGGAGACAAAGAACTTTGTCCTTGGAGGCAAAGAGGGGAATGTATGAGAGTATAGTTTTACCAACGCTCTTATATGGGTGTGAAGCGTGGGTGATGAATGTTGCAGCGAGGAGAAGGCTGGAGGCAGTGGAGATGTCATGTCTGAGGGCAATGTGTGGTGTGAATATAATGCAGAGAATTCGTAGTTTGGAAGTTAGGAGGAGGTGCGGGATTACCAAAACTGTTGTCCAGAGGGCTGAGGAAGGGTTGTTGAGGTGGTTCGGACATGTAGAGAGAATGGAGCGAACAGAATGACTTCAAGAGTGTATCAGTCTTAGTGGAAGGAAGGCGGGGTAGGGTCGGCCTAGGAAGGGTTGGAGGGAGGGGGTAAAGGAGGTTTTGTGTGCGAGGGGCTTGGACTTCCAGCAGGCATGCGTGAGCGTGTTTGATAGGAGTGAATGGAGACAAATGGTTTTTAAAAACTTGACGTGCTGTTGGAGTGTGAGCAAAGTAACATTTATGAAGGGATTCAGGGAAACCGGCAGGCCGGACTTGAGTCCTGGAGATGGGAAGTACAGTGCCTGCACTCTGAAGGAGGGG